TGTATGTATGTATGTATGTATGTATGTAATAATCAAATCGTTAATGTAATCCTGAGGGGTACGCTTCACTTAGTTTGACTGTAAACCCAAACTAAGCCTGTTTCAGTACATACAAAGTATGTTATTATCGTGCTCTTCGTTGTTGTTCACGTCTACAACCCTAGAGTATTCACAGTGAGGACAACGAAGCAAAGGAATACAGATCATTTACATAATTTTGTCCCCTGCCTAGTTGGCCCAATACATCAGAACAAATCATATATTCAGGTTACCAGGATTTTCACATTTTAAGAAAATTGAACGAACCTGATCTTGGATATGACACAATAAAGATATCCTCCTTTCGGGCCGTCAATTTAGGAAGAACGTCTATCATTTCTTTTGTTACAACCTTTCCGGGCGAAAGGAGGACGTCTTTAAAGTTCGGAGGTCCTGTCCGATCACCCATGCCTCTTTGAGATAATTCTTAAGAGATAGAGATTAAACAAAGTTAGAAACACTTTGAAAATTCACTTCAGGAAGTTTGTAACGTAGGCGATAATTTATAGATAGACCAGTGGCAGAAACTATTCAAGTTGAGTAAGCACAAAAAGTAAGACATGCACCTTTTTTTAAGAGCGTCTTTAGAACGTTCCTAACATGTTTTTAAAGTTGTTTGTCATCATATTTCAATTAAAAAATTTAGTTTGACTACAAATTGAGTTGTCCTTCGTGTATCTTGCAACAGGAGAACCGTATTGTTAGTGTTAAAAAATATGTCCCTGAGTTTTAACCCAAATTCTCATGTCTAAAATTGTCCCGTTAGACCTCACTTTTACATTTCATTTACCTTCATCTACACTTCTCGTCCGGGATAAACAGCTTTTGCCCAAAATTACGAACGACAACAAATGAAAATGAAATGACCGACACGAGCCAGACGAATAACCGTGCAACTCTACGGATTTGTGTGGGCGTTCATGCAAGCTCATGCAGAGCACGACCATAGGCAAAGAATTTCATTAGCCTTTAATACGTAGTCAGTCGTAGTCAGTGGAACCTGCTCAACGCTTTCAATTACGTACAGGCAGCTAACTCGCACAGGACTAAATCCTTAGAGGATGACTAAATTTTCCTTTGGGAAATACAGCTTTAATCCAGAATTACGAAACCAATCCGAACTATCATTTACCAAGTTGACTCCATTTTTCATCGACTGACCTTTGGTATTTGTCACCATTATCTTCAAACAATAGATATTTTGTTCGCAGTAGTAGACCGTGAAGCGTCACACCATCCAACATATGGCGGTGTGCATAAATTCAAAATAGGTTACTCGTGTTTTAATTAATTTTTTTTAACACTTGATCCTTCATACCCAATTGTGTTAATGAATTTTCACACTAAAGGTTATTTTTGATAATCAAACATCAATTTGTTCCGTAACTGGAGCATTCATCCCAATATTATTGTCGTGATACACATTTGTTTACATATTGTCTGCCCCGAAATGCATTTTCAAAAGCGGATCGTCAGTTACATATGGTACTTGGACATGCAACCCTCCAGCAACCTATTTGCCATACATAATTATGACCCATGAGTGACATGAGCCTTATGACATGAGCCTTACGATTTCTCAACGTAGACCCCAATAAAACAACATTGCTCAACGATCTGCCATAAATAGATACATCTTTATTGCGATGTCCTCATGGAACGATAACTTCGACTTTTGACTCTAGTTTAGGTTTAGCGTTTAAACTAATGGGTGTCGCTTTGTAAAGCGTTCTTAGTAGAGCATATTTTGGATACTGAAAGGGCTAGAACAACATTAAACAACTCTCACCTTTCCTTTCTTGTTGACACCAAAAATTATTTTTTCTCCAGTTCGCACAGGGTTGAATGATTTCTTATACAGAGAACCCCTTCAAAATACCGATAGGTATTGCATGCATTGTGTGACACTGTGAGCGATAGTACCCAGACTCAACTGAGCCCCTGTCAGGACCCCTGTCAGTATTATCAGGCTGATTAGAC